TCCATTGTTCACATGATTACCCTTTGAGTACTTGAAGACAATTATTATGTCACAGACTCACAGAATTTCAGAGTTGGAATGATCTTTCTTAGGCCTCATCCTTCTTTATTTTTCTGTCGGGGTTCTCCTCTTATCTGTCAGAATAATTGTTCCCAGGTTTTTCCCAAAAAAATCATCAGTCATATCCCACCCCACTTACACTGGTCTATCCCAGGGTTATCACCTGAGCCCTCTTCTCTTTTCTTTGTACACTTTTGGTGAGCTCATCAGCTCATATATCACCCACATTGATAAATCTCAAATCTACATATCAGCCCTCATCTCTCTCCAAATTTCCAGTCTCACATCTCTGTTTGACAACTCAAACTCAACACGTGGAATTCATTATCTTTCTTCTAAACTTACTTTTTCCAAAATTCCCTATTTCTATGGAGGGTACCACGATCCTTTAAAGTCAAAGATGCTTTCAACCTACACTATTCACTCCAGCATAACTCACTATCACCCCCATATGCAATGAGTTACCCAAGTCTTATCAAGTCTACCCCCTCAAAATCTCTCATATCAATCCCCTTCTCTCTACTCACAACAATAACACCCTAATCTCTGCTATCCTTCATTACCTCTCATCTTGACTCTTAACAGCCTCTTAATTGTCTTCCTGCATCCAGTGTCTTGTTTTTCCAAATCAATCTCCACACAGCTGCCAAACTGTTCTTAAAATGTAGGTCTGACCATGTCTCTTATATGCCCAAGAAATTTTAGTGTCTCCCCGCTGTCTTTAGGAGAAAATATAAACCTTCTGATCGGTATTTAAAAGAACTTTAAGATCCAATTAAAGCCTTTTTTCCCTCAGGCTGACTACATATTAGTCATACTCTACATTCTTGCCAAGCGGGTCTATTTGCTGTTCCCAATAGACAGTATTCGATCTCCCACTATTGTGCCTTATTCAGACTGTCCCCACTGCCTAGAACATACCTCCTCCTCATCTCTACCTCTTGGAACCCTTAGTCCCTTTCAAAGAAAAGCTCAAATGCCACCTCCTTTAAAAGATCTTTTTTGACTCTCTCAGTTGCTAATGCCCTCCTACACACAAATCACTGCATATTTATTTTGTGTGTAACCTATGTTTTGTGAACATGGTCTATCCCTTTATACAATATAAGCCGTTTGAGGTAAGGGATTATTTTGTTTTTAATTTTTGAATTCCTAATACCTAGTAGAGCACCTATCACTTAATACTTACTGACTGACTGGAAAGGATCTCAGAGAACACCCAGTCCAAACTTTCTCTGAACAAGAATCCCCACTTACAAACAGCCCAGAAGGGAACTTTTGCTTGAAACTCCCATTGAGGGGAGGTCATTACCTCCCACAACAATTCCTTCCACCTTAGGCTGATCTACTTGTTACTCAAATAGTAGCAAGAAAGAGTGTAATTCTATTTCTTTGCAATTTTCATCTATTAGTCCTAGTTCCACCACCTAAAGCTAAAGAGAGTAAGTCAATCCATTTTCCATATGACAGCATTTCAAATACTTGAAGACATCCATCACGCAGAGTTGCAGTAGACAGAGCAACATACATGAGGTCAGGAAGACCAGAGTTCAAATCCAGTCTCAAATATTTAGCTACATGACCTTAGGCAAGTCATTTAGCCACTCTCTGCCTCAGTTTCCTCATTTGTAAAGTAGGAATAATAATAGCACTTATCTCCTTGGGTTGTTACGAGAATAAAATGAGATAACTATAAAGTGCTCTGCAACCGCATTACTTATCATGTCCATCCTAAGTCTTCTCTTCCCCAGGCTAAACAACCCTAGTTCTTTCAAACAATCCTCATATAGCATGATCTCAAGGCCCTTCACCACACTGGCTGCTCTCCAGCTTATCAACACACTTCTCAAAACAGGAACTCTGAAGTGAATACAACACTCCAAATATGGTCTGACATAAGGAGAGTATAACAGGATTATCATCTCCTTTGTCCTAGGCGCTATTCTGCTCTTACTATGGCCTATGATTACATTAGTGGTTTTTGGCTACCAGATAACACTGTTGACTTATAATGAGCTTTCCATTAAAATGCCCAGATATTTTTCATACAAACTCCTGCCTAGTCATGAAGTGAATTTTTGAACCTACTTAGAAACTTTCCATTTGTCTACATTCAAGTTCATCTTATTAAATTAAGGTCAAGGTTCTAGTCTGCCAATATCTTTTTGAACTCCTAACTTTATCATCCACTACGTCAGCTATTCCTTCTAGCCTTGTGTCATCTGCAAATTTAATAAGTATACCAAATATGCCTCTATCCAATTTAATGGTTAAAAATAATAAACGACACAAGGTCAAGCATAATATAGTCTTGTGACTCTTTACCAGAGACCTCCTCCAAGTGGATACCAAGCCACTAATAATTATTTGTTGGTTTTGTTGTCGTTGTTCAGTCACTTCAATCATATGTGACTCTTCATGATCCCCTTTGGGGTTTTCTTGGCAGAGATACTAGAGTGGTTTAATACATCCTTCTCCAGCTCATTTTATAGATGAGGAAAGTAAAGCACATAGTTAAATGACTCGCCCGAGGTCACACAGCTAGTAAGTATCTGAGACCAGATTTGAACTGAGGAAAATATCTTCTTGACTCCAGGCTTGGCACTCTATCCACTGTGGTATTTAGCTGTCTCTAATCTTTCTGTATTTTACTAACTGCCTTACAAATATTATCTCTTTTTAGCTAACCAGTACCTTAGTAATCATTGTTGTTGTTGTTGTTCAACTATTTGTCGGGTCTAGCCATTAAACCAGGTCTAAAGCCAGGTCCTCTGACTCCAAATCCAGAACTACCTCAACTATATTCTACTGTCTCTTAATAATACCTGATATTTATTTAGTACTTTAAGGTTTATAAAGTGCTTTACATAGATTATCTCATTTGATTCTTACAATCCTGCGAAATTAAGTACTATGACGTTATTTTCACTTTACAGATAATGAAACTGAGGGAAGGAAGGGAAAGTGACTTTAAGATTATGACCAAGCTCTTCTTGACTTCAAGTGACTCCGGAATGACAAGCTGCCATGATATGTACAAATTACTTATTATATGTATAAAATTTATATATTATCAATCAATCAACAGGGACATATTAAGTGCTTACTTGATATCAAGCCCTGTGCTATGCATAAGAGGATGCAAAGAAAAACGAGAACATAGTCCCTGCTTTCAAAGACCCCACATTCTAATCTCATACATACAAACAACTATGTTCATACAAATGCTGATGCCACTGATAAAAACCCTACACAAGAATTCAAGTAGCTCAATTTTAGAAATGATGGTTACAAATACATATTGTATAACAATGGGTTTTCCTAATTATATTAATGAAAACTCAGCAGGACACTTGAAATACTTTGAATCTAAAAGCATTTATAAATCAAAATAGAGCTATTCCCATTCCCAATTTATAGGTAAGCATGAAATAGCAGCATTGATGGTTACTATCAGATAGCCACAGACTGCTAATGCATTTAAAGTATCTGCTGTCATAAGGACACTAACTATGCCAAGCAATACATTTGGGAGGCTAAAAAAACAAAACAAAACATAAATCATATGATCTTGACCTTTTGGATAAACTGTCTTTGGTTAGATAAAGTAGATCGATGGCCTTGTCAAATCTTGGCAGAAAAACACAGGAAGACAATCTTTTATTAACTATCTCATACACAAAATATGTCATTATATTTTAGTACTTCAAGTTGTCCCTTTTCCCACTTGTTCTAAACCTGACAGCAGACCTAAAATACTTTAATTTTTGAGGAGTTTAAGTCTAAGCTTACAATTCATGCATTATAAAAATAAAGCAAATGATAGTATGGAAGAAAAAAATGTTTTGAGTTGTTACAGAAGTCACTTTCACAATATTACTTAAATAACATGAATTGAGGAAATTCAAGCAAGGCTTTGCCAAAGAGTAAAAATAAATTCTACATCTTTGCTTTCAAGGGGAAGTATATTATCTAGCACCATCCACAACAGGCTAAAGACAAAATTTCTGGATTAACATTTTCTCTATGACCTTAAACAGATTTGTACATCTCCCTAAGTGAGGTCATATAGAAAATATTCCCCATTAAATAGCTAAGAAAATTAATGAGTTACAATATCTAAGTTTAGAGCTATGAATCTTGAAACACATTTATTTGATGGGAGAATGGGAAGGACTGAGAAAGGGATAACAGGTGAAACACAGATGAAATAGTCTGGTAACAGTGATTTTCTAAATGAAGTTCCAATTTCTTTTTTGTATCTTTTTTTTTGGGGGGGGCAATTGGGGTTAAGTGACTTGCCCAGGGTCACACAGCTAGTAAATGTCAAGTGTTTGGTCTGAGGTCGGATTTGAACTCAGGTCCTCCTGACTTCAGGGCTAGTGCTCTATCCACTGCCTCACCTAGCTGCCCCAGTTCCAATTTCTTTTTAAAGATACTCTACTGATTTAGGGCATTTCATTGATACTATCTGAAGCTTAGAAGCTGCCTCCCTCTGAGGCACCATTTTATGAGGAAGTTTTTTCTTAAACTATTTAAAATATCCCCATATCTTTGAAAGCTAAACTTTCGAAGCATCCAAAAGGAATAGTTAACTACACAGTCAACTCTTCTTTCAGCATTTTTTTCTTAAAAATTACACAGAAGGTATGACTATAAAGTCATGATACACTCTGAAGGCCACTCACAGAACCATCTCATTGTTTCATACTCGGGCTCTGTAAGTGATGACCAATCTTGCTCTCTTTTTCACATGCTTTTCAGAACTTAATTTCTAGTCTATTCTAATATATTCTAGATTTACTTCATAATTTTAAAATCAAAAGAATTTGTATTCAGTCACTAAAAGCATAAAGCTACAGAATTTTGGGTTTGAGCAGTGTGTGTCCCTTCCACCCCTTTCCATGCTTTCATTAAACAGACTTACTTAGGAAACATACCTGTTGAAGTTAATATCTGGGTAACTAGAATACTCAGATTTCATCTTAGCATTTCGGCGTGGAAATGTGCAAAAGAAAGCATTAGCTAAAAGACTAGCAATCTGCTCTTGTGACATTGTGATGGAGTGATTCATCTTCTGTTTCAGTAGAGGTATTGGCTGGAACAGCAAACAAAAACACACAAAAGAGAAGAGCAATAATTAGATTAGCAATTTCAGAAACAGGAGCACAAAATTACATTTGCTAAATTAGGGTAGGACTAATTTAGGGCCACTCCTGGGCTCTTAAATCAGCAGCATCATTAAAATCTAGGACTATTTATCCTGGAAGATTGGAAAAATGTTCACATTTAACGAATTGCAGATTTCCAATCAATAATAATAATAGTGAAGAGAACAAAAAGCACTACTTATCAGTGAAAACAAGACTGATACAGCAATACAGATGAAACACAACATTACACATGTCATTTGATAATCAGAACTGAAGACTAAACAGAAAAAAGGCAATACTGCAGTTAACAATTACAGTTTTGGTCTTGTGCTCATTTTGTTAAAAAAAAAAACCTGACAGATACAGAAATTCTAATATTAAGCACTTTAAAATAAAATTATAATTTCAGAGAAACTACCTTAGACATAACATCATAATAGCTTTCTTACTCCAATCTAAGCTAGTATTTATTAAGTACCTACCCTTTACTTCATGAAGGTAGTTTCTTATTACATGGCTTCCCTTTCAAAGCCTTTCTCTTAGCAAAGAATTGAAAAGAATAAATGGCATCAAACAGAATCATTTGTGATTTGTGATAAGATGGGATATTCCTAAAAAGAGTAGAGTATTCTCAAAGGGAAGCAGACAACACAGTGGCTAAAATGCTGAGATAGGAGGACTAGAGGCAAAGTATTTAAGTTCCATGATTCAGTTACCTTATCTACAAAGTGTCCCTGCCCTACTTATCTTACAGGGTCAGTGTAGAGTTAAGTAAGATAACGGCATTGTAATTATATAAATGAGAAATAAATGTTAGGAAATCAGAAGCTGGGATTTTGTCACTGAGAACTCTCAGATTTAAAATATTTTTCTAACTGAGCCAACATCAAATTATGTTGAACACACTTTTTCAGTATGTTCTAGAAGAACCAAACAACTCTACTCTGTACATTTTTACAGCATTTTAAATATTTTTTAAAATACTAAATGCTTCTTACAATGAAAATTTTAAAGTATGACAGAATATCCAAAAGTAAAATTTGAATTATCCAACACTTAATGTATACACACACATACACACACACATATGCTAAAATTATGTGTAGAGCAGAGGTGTCAAACACACAGCCCACAGTACTAGTGTGTGCAGCCCTAGGAGATTAAAATGTAACTGGGAAATACTTAACAAAATAAATAAAAATACAATAAAACATAGATAATATTAATACGTGGTTTTCTTAAGTCAATATGAGGCCTACAGGGATCCTTATGTATGGTTCAGTGGCCATAGTTTACATTTGAGTTAGATATCACTGGTGTAGAGGAGAGACAGCTAGCTTTGAAGTCAGGAAAATGTGGGTTCATGTCTCACCTCTGACAGCTACTGGCTATGTGGTGCTGGGAAAGGCACTTAACCTCTCAGGGTTCTAGGCAACTCTTTAGGACTAGAAGTTGCAGAGAAGGTGGTGATCTGCACTGGTAGAGAGAGTTTCCTCACTTGGGAGTTCCTCATACGAAAGAAATAACAAGTCCTATGCCCTATCTCTAACCCTACCAAAATTATATTCAATAAAAGTGTTTTCCCCTCTCCTTTCTACTAACTCTCAGCATTAAAAATACAGAATGTTGTTACATATTACACATAAAGGAGATAATACAAATAATACTGAATAACTCTCCTGGCATATAGGTCTAAATCAATAAACAAAACTATATCTGAGGAGAGAAAAGGAAGAAAAGTGAAAGCTGAAATGTTATAACATATAGTTTTCTTTTTAAACCACAGGAAAAAACATATTGGCATAATTAAAGCCTGCTAGGAGGAAAAATATTAAAACTAGTTGTTTAAATATTTCAAAAGAAAAGTTAAAAGAAATAACCCAAAAGGCAACAACATTTTCATCACAATATCAATAATCTCCCTTCCTGGTAATCACCATTTCTAATAAGAGGGAACCAGATGCTTCTATTGATCTCTAATATATTAACCTCATTTTACAGCTTCTCAATCTGCTATAAAATAAAATCTTATTTTAGAAAACATGACCAAGACTCTCTTCATAAGCTTAGAATATATCTAGATTTTCCTTTAAAAATTTCTTTTTTCTTAGCATCAGAACTGAGAGAAAAGATGAAATTAGTGCTCATAGGTTTAGGATTAAATTAGTTTAAAAATGGGTATTCTTTTCTCCTTCACAAATTACCTTTACTTTACTGGAAATACTAATCTTTTCTAGATTCAAAGTAAAATACCTCCACTAACCTTAGCATGGATTTCACAGCTTATATATTTAGTGAGATTTTTAAAATGCATATCCTATAAATTAAAATAAATAACAAAGTTTTAAAACGTGATGACTATTGACCTGAAACATGAGTCCCTCTAAAAATTTCTGCCTATACCTTCATATTCTTCCATCTCTTCCCTTCTGAATTTAGCTTAAAGCACCATAATATAATAAATCTTTAACATTTAATGAGACTACATGATTTTTCTTGACAGGAGACATATTTTGGAAAAAGATACTTGGCTTTCTAAAATATATTCCTCACTCTACACAGTAGGAATTAACTTGAGATATTTTTCCAATTAATAATGCCTATGGAATAACAAAATAAATCTCAATTTAGATTCAGATGCCAGGAAATCATGCATTTACCTTAGTTTTTAACCAAGTGCCTTCTCTTAGGTTAGGATCTAAAATTAACTTGTCTTAAAAGCTATTTTAGAATTATTATGTAAAACAAGGAAAATTTTCTACCTCAAAAGACTTTTGGAGGGATTAACTAATTTATACTGTAAGGCATTATCTTTTCAATGATACAATGTATACCCTCAGCTTTGTACTGTTTGACCCAGAATGACAATAATAGTCCCCTAAAACATATAGTGCCTATAATGCAAAATTTTATATGAAAAAACACTTTAGAAAATACACATCAACAAAAACAACAAGGAGAGAAAACCTAAGATATAAATACTCAAAGTCCTCTACATTGGAAAATTATAAATAGCTTTAAAATTCCTGTTATATCAAATTATATTCTAAATAAAGTATTACTTGGCATAAAAATGTGCACATTTCTCATTATATTTTTCTTCTGAATTGATAGCAAATATACTTGTGTATCTGGTAAGAGAACCAGAAGCAAACAGGAGCAAACTCAATTCAAAATCCTCTTAACTGATATTCTATAAAGCTCAGACAGAAAGAGGTGAGAGAGGGAAAAACAAAAGGAGAAGAAAATTAAACACATTGATCTGCAAGACAGGAAGGAGGACTCACATCAATCATCTTTCAAAGTAGTAAAGCATTAGAACCAAGCCAGAAAACCTGTTAAGAGGTATTATGAGTCAGGATGTTATCCAATACACTGGTTTATGTTGTTTGTTTAAGCTATTTTAAAAGTTAAATGTTTTAAATCCATTAATATGTTTTGGAAAAAAGCCAAATCATTTGGTAACTGTGTTCAAAAAAAAATCAAAGATTGATCCTCTGAGTAAATATAGACTTCTGACAGCTTAAATGAAAGCTCAAAAATTGAACGGTGCATGTGTACCATTACACATGCATTTTCTCATCTATTAACTGATTATGAAAGAACAATTACAACCTTTGCAAGAAACATTTCCTCCACAACTCTTCTGACCTTAGTTATAGGAAATTCATCTATAGGAAATGAATCTGTTTGTAAGGAATTCCAAGCCACTCAAGCCTAGATTAACAGCCTGAATCTACTCACCTGAGTGCAAATATCTGGTAGACAAAGGGCTAATTTCACCATATCAGGCAGGATAGACTGACATAAATGCTGGGCCTCTGCTTCTTCAAGGGCCTACAAACCAACAAGAGACTTTATCAGGTCAGGATCAATCAAAAACAAAGGTTCTGTAATTATTACACAAAACTGTAAGGACGACTTTTTACTTTTCATAGACATATCAAACACTCTAAGAGTGCTTTAGCTTTGTCTTTGCAGGAATAAGTATGGAGCACCCACTGCTATATAAATGCCAAGCACTATGCTAAGTATACAAATACCTCATTTGATTCTCACAACAACCCTGCAAAGTAGGTGCTATTATGATCCCCATTTTACCACTGAGAAAAATGAGGCAAATAGAAGTTAAGTGACATGGCCAGGGTCACATAGTGTCTGAGGTCAGATATGAACTCAGGTCTTCCTGACTCCAGACCCTGGGCACTGTGCCACCAGCTGTTTCCCTATGCTCATCCAGCACAGTGCCTCAGGAGCAATATGGAAAACACATCCTCAACATCTCCATCACTGACACTGGAAATCTTTCTTTGACTCTCTTTCAAAGGCACCTGGGTACCAAGTTTTGACTATTCTAGCTCTACACATCTCCTACATGTATCCCCTCAGTCTCTTCTCAATACCCTAAAGTCCAGTACAAGTCCACTTTCTTTGACTATTGCAATAAATTCCCGGGGAAAATATACTTAACAACACTCCTCAGCATACACTCCCAGAGTTATTCTGCCTCTGCCTGAAGAGCTCAAAGAAGGAGAGCTCCACAACCCCCAAGAGAGCCCACACCTACTCTGGACAACTCTGCTTTACTGATTTTTCTTTTTTTAGATCTGTCTAGCGCCAGCTGTTTACAAATACAGTCAAGGGCAGGGGACAAAAAGTCATTTATCTAATTATCAGTGACTAAGTAGTAGAGGACAGCACAGATGAGTACACAGGCCCTCAGCAAAGGTCTTGTTTCCTTTGTTCTTAGTACCAGGGTCAAGAGAAAATTCAGCAACATCAACTTGGTGAATTATCTCCAGTTACTGAAGGTGGCTGGGATTAGGTGTAGAGAGAGTCTGTGTGTATGGAGTAAAAAAAGAGGAATAGTTAGTGTAAATAAAATAACTGTAAAAAAATCAAACAAAACTTCAGCGGACTTTTGGTTCAGGAGCAGCCATAAGCTGCTCCAACAACAAAATGACAGGAAAATTTAAAATGCCTGAGAGGAAGGATGGGTTTTCATTTTTTTTTCATTATACCATCAGTGCCTATTACAGTGCCTTTCACATAGTGAGCTCTTAATAAATGTAGGTGAACTACTGGTTTAATGGGAATTCTTTGATCAGAATGAGCAGAATTAAAAATGATCCTTGCTACAACAAAGTGTATTTAAGAAACATACTTTTAAAAAGTTTTGTCTTTACGCACTTAAAAACATGAGAAAGAAATCATCAAATTTTTCTGATAAGTACTTGGTGACCAAGATATATAAACAGTTAATAGATATACATATATACATATCTCTTTCTCTCTCACACACACTCAAAAACCATTCTGCAATAGATAAATGGTCCAAGGATATAAAGAAAAATTCTCAAAAGAACTGTAAACTATTAGTAACCATATGAAAAAACAGATCCAAGAGAGTAATAATAAAAGAAAGGAAAATCAAAACAACCCTAGGTTTCACCTTGCACCCTCTATACTGGCAAGGATGACAACATATAAGAACAGTCAACGGAGGAAGAGTTGTGAAAAGATATGTCCACTGGTCCATTGTTGATGGAACTGTGAGTGAGTATAATCATTTTGGGAAGCAATTTAGATTTTTGCAAATAAAGTGACTGACCAGGAATTCTACTACAAGGCTTATACCCTAAGGAGGTCATTGATAAGAAGAAATTCCCCATACATACCAAAATATTTACAGCAGAACTTATTGTGACAGCAAAATAAATGCCCATTGATTGGGGAATGGCTAAAGAAATTGTGGTACATGAATGTAATAAAATATTGCCATGATAAGGAATGATGAATATGATGGAATACAGAGAAGCATGGAAAGATTTACATGAACTGATGCAAAGTGGAATGAAGAAGGACAATAAAAGAACATACACAATGACTATAGTACTGTAAACACAAAGAACCACAAAGAAAAATCAAGAGTTAATGTTGTGAAATTATAAGAACATGGTTCAAAAGAAGAGATATTAGAAAGTACTCCCCCCATCCCACTTCTTCACAGAGGTGGGAGGTCCACAAGTGTAATATACTGCACATATTTATAGACTTTTTCAAAGTACTGATCAGTTATAGTGATTTTTTTCCTCTTTTTTTTTTTTGTCTTTGAAAAATATTTGTGATAAGAGATGACTCTATAGGAGAAAGAGGTATCCTGAAGGAAATTATGATGAGGAAAGACAAGAAAACATCAATAAAAAAATTTATTTTTTAAATATGGGAAATACATTAATACTTTCATTAAATATATTCAAACATTTTCAATCTCAAGACATTAGGTGTCAAACAAGCTGTCAGTTACTTCCACTTTTCTCATTTGGGTTCCCTCCTAGTCTTTTATAATTGACATGAGTAGTTGTGGCCTTGCTTTGCAGGGTGTCACAAGCAATACAATATCACTTATCTAGTGACACATTACAGCACTGTACTTTTTCAGGGCTGTCAATATTTCAACTATTTGTTAAATGCCACGTTTAAAAAGTAAATAATAATCACAAAGCACTCCTCTTTGAAACAGAATGACAGCCAGTAAATAAATACTCAACTCATGTCTAGGGTGGAATGAATTATCTTTAAAATACCAATCAAACCTTCTGTCTTCTGACCCAAAAGGAGCATCTGCCTTCAACTCCTAAATATTAAAAAAAAATTATTTTGAAATCAGTGTGTGACTGTGTAAAAAACTAAAAGCAAAGTATTTCACAAACTGCAGTAGGCTACTTTGGAGGCAAAGATCCAATTAGTGTTACAAGAAAATGAGAATTTATTTATGAAAAGTGGCCTGAGTAAGTACTTTCAAAAGTGATTATCTAAAACACTGTCATTACAAACTAGCATTCTCCATGTAATAAAGAGAGGAGAACCTGAATAACAAGTTAAATAACATATGCACAGGATGATAACACTAGAAAACTACAATGAAACATGATAAAAACTCAAGCAAAGGAACCAAAAAAAGAAAAAAATACTGAAAGCCTAGAGAGCATACTATAAACTGACATTTACAGTATAACTCTTTATCTTCTATTTTCAACTTACCCTACACCAGTTCTAGGCCACCAAATGATTGACTGACCCACATCTGGAGGTTAAGGGAGAGGAGGCATAAAAAGAATATTTCTTTCAGACCTGGTACAGTTTGTTTCCTAATCATATTACACTAGGGCCATTTTGCGTATTTTTCTTCCCGAACATACAGAAGTTTACTGAGAAGAAAGGTCTCTTTTTAAAAAAATAACTATTTCAGTCTCTCAACACAGTCATGACTAACCTTGCATAAAGATGGGCTACCAATTATGACCACTTCACACACAGAGGCAGAGATTCAACCTTCCCTTAGCAGATGGAAGACAAGGACAATCTTATGGAAAACCTTTTTTCTTGTATTTGTCTAAAATATTAATAATAGTTTGTACCCCAAGTAAGAAAAAACTAAATATTCATTATTCCCTCTTTCCTAGAATATTTATTGAACTCAGCTGAAATAATTCTGTAAATTATGTCTCAACTACTGAAATCATATTCATAAGTCAAATCCACTCCTGGCAAAACCAGGAAACTGGTATTATATCAGTTTTAACTGGAAAAATCCTGAGTTTTCTCCAAATTGAAGGAGACTCATATTTAAGTCAATTCAAATATTTATAAAACAACTATCCTTTAAATCTAAATAATTTTAATCTAAAAAAATCTAATCTAAAATATTCCTATCAGGAATTTCTGTCAAAAAGTGTGACTACTGGCAAAATGAAAAGAAAAATTAAATTTTAGAGGGAAGAAAAAACTGTAGCATTACATTTTGCAGGGCAAAATACTTGGAAAATATTTCTGACATTTTTCAAATGAGGACTGACACTTGAAGAATAGAAGACAGCAGTTTACAAGAAAACATTCATTTTGTTTAATTTTTTTGAAAGCTCATGCAAGTTTTTGACAATCCAACCCCAGAATGATCTCTCAGGTATATCACCCATAAGGATTACAACTTCATTTGAAAATGCTGTTTTTATTGTCTAGTGAGTTTTCAACAAATAGCTGGGGAAAAAATGTTGGTTTTCATATTTTTTAAGTGGCAATGTCAGAAATTAAGAACTAGCAATTATTCATAGATATAAAAGAAGATTATCTAGATTTTTTTCATATTATATCTCCCTTAAAGAAGAAGGAAGGTAAGGAATGAAGATGTAATGGGAAGATGAGGTAAACAGAATCACTATCTATGAAAGTACAACACTGGTGATATACTGGGAAAAGGCTGTACTATTAAATTATACTAGCTCTCTCTTTCCTTTCTTCTTCAAATAACTCTTGAGAACTTTCCCACGAATTTTCAGAGCATCACAAGGATGAGAAAAACTGATCAAAATGGTAATCGACTATAATAAACAGAGATAAAAGAGATATACACAAGCTTTTAAATACATGCTCTTGATTTTAAATGAATGAAGAAAACTTTGATCTCAAACACTGTTACTCTAAACAGCAGCATAAAAATGAAGTGGAACAAAATAACATAGGTAAATTTATTGACTTAAAACACATAGCTTTTTTACATCTTTAAAAAACTTTTCATATACAATGTCCTCCTTTGGCTGCAACCACTGCTTTTACACAATTCAGCACTGATTCTGTTATCACTCCTCACCCTCAAAGGGAGAGGTAAGAAGCAGCAGACAAGAGACACCCCTCACAGCAAAAGGTTAAGTGACTTGCCAAAGGTCAACACAACCAATACACGTCAGAGGCAGGGCTTGAACCCCATCTTCCTAGCACTGAAGCTGGTTCCCTATCCACTACACCATATACTGCCTCTCATCATTTCTTAGACATTC